ATGTATATCATTTTCTGATAGGAGAATTACTTTTGCGTAAACTAAGAAGGTCTTTTGAAGATCTTCTGCGTGTAAAAGACTTTCGAAAGATCTTCGGTTTAAGAATTACCTCTCTGTCTATGAAATTCTCTGGGAAGATCATTTACCTATGGACAACAATTAGAAGATCTTCTGTTCACAGATGCCTTTTGGTCTTCCAAAGGACTTTTGGATAATCTGCTTCATATAGACAACCTTTGGAATTAAGACTTTTTGAATTCTTCTTCGATCTATAGGAGGTATCTGCAATTTTTCCCGTCTAAAAGAGAGCTTTGAAGACTGTTCTGTCTATAAAAAGCTTCTGAAGATCCTCAGTCTGTGAAAGACTTTCTGAAGTCATCTTCTATCTTAAAAATTCTTTTAAAAGATATTCTGTTTTTAGTAGATCCTGAAAATGAATGGAATATCTTTGTCTTATATCTATAGAACGCTTTTAAAGATTTCTTTTATCTAGAGGCCATTTCCGCCTATAGGAAGGCCTATTGTCTGTAGAAGGCCTCAAAAAGGTCTTATGTCTATAGAACATCTCTAGAATGCCAATGGAAATCATTCTGTCTTCTGAAGAGCCTTTTGCCTATGGAGTTTTGAGCCTTTGTCTTATGAGTTATTTTATATTTGGAAACATTTTAGAAAGGACGAAAGAACCCATTAGGATGGTTTTCTATCTTTTCCCTATAGAAGAATTTATTCCGTCTGTAGATGGCTATGAAAGTAATTTAGTACTTTCCTAAGTAAGAAGGTACTACAATGCTAGTTTATCATCCCTGACAAATGCATAAAAATGCAATTCACCTTCTTGAAATCACTCGAAGAAGAAAGAAGTAGTCAAGAAAAGCCCCCCAAAACATACCTCCCATTAGCCTCGTATGCAAAAGAGACGGCGGAGTGTATGACATGAATAACAAATGCAGACAGTGGCTCAGAGGTATTCAGAATTGGAGCCCAATATTTTCGATTTTATAAAAATGCAAAAATGATTTCAATGATCAAATGCCATATTTGTACATATTTATTTTCTAAAAATAAAAAAAAATAATTAGAATTTAAAAAAGGAAACCACTGTCAATTTTTTAATTGCTTCTGCATGTCGTATGGGAAGGTACCTTGTTGAATTCATTTATTTTGTGTGTGTTCAGTTAAAGAAATGTTCAAAGCTGTTTAAAAAAAAAACAATTAAACATTTGTTTGAAATCCAAATCCAATAGAAAGAAATTGAAACCAACAACAGCAAATCAAGCCAAAACCAACTACTCGTGCAAGTAAGTAGTAGTGATTGAATATTTTGCATTACACTTAGGCCACAACACCAACAACAGCCCACATATGAACGAACATACACATGTACATATTGATATGTTTGTATGTTTTCGGCCATTATTAGGAAATATATATCCCTCTAACTGTTTTTGCATATCGTCGTTTTAAACGTCATTCGTTTTGAAATTCAATCCAGACAATATCTCGTATTGTTTACTCTTACTCTTCGCTAACGGCGAAAAGCAAACAGCAGAAAAAAAGTTCCAACACGCGCCTGAAGGGGTACTTGTTTCTTCAATTTCAATTGTTACGCCAATAACGATATAAAGCAACAACAACAATAAAAACTGAAATGAAACGAAATTGTGGCAGTGGGTTAAAATGTTTGACCTGGTCATCATGCGAGTATGAGTTGTCGCTTTTTTTTGGTTCGAGTAACCTAATTTAAATTTGTTACAATAAAAAAGATCAATAAAATTAATAATAAAAATAATAATAATAATAATAATAATAGTAATAATAATAATAATAATAATAATAATATAATAATAATAATAATAATAATAATATAATAATAATAATAATAATAATAATAATAATAATAATAATAATAAAAATAATAATAATAACAATAATAATAATAATAATAATAATAATATAATAATAATAATAATAATAATAATAATAATAATAATAATAATAATAATAATAATAATAATAATAATAATAATAAATAATAATAATAATAATAATAATAATAATACTAATAATATAATAATAATAATAATAATAATAATAATAATAATAATAATAATAATAATAATAATAATATAATAATAATAATATAATAATAATAATAATAATAATAATAATAATAATAAAATAATAATAATAATAAAATAATAATAATAATAATAATAATAATAATAATATAATAATAATAATAATAATAATAATAATAATAATAATAATAATAATAATAATAATAATAATAATAATAATATAATAATAATAATAATAATAATAATAATAATATACATATAATAAATAATAATAATAATAATAATAATAATAATAATAATAATAATAATAATAATAATAATAATAATAATAATAATAATAATAATAATAATAATATAATAATAATAATAATAATAATAATAATAATAATAATAATAATAATAATAATAATAATAATAATAATAATAATATAATAATAATAATAATACTAATAATAATAATAATAATAATAATAATAATAATAATAATAATAATAATAATAATAATAATAATAATAATAATAATATCGAATTTAAATGATTATAACATAATATTAAATTATTTTGGTATGAAAGTTGCGAATATCTCAATATTTGAGAGTTGTAATTATTCAAAATTTGATCCAATTGTGAGGGGGCAGGTTCCGGATGGTGTATGGTTAAATAACCGATATTAGGCCCCTAGACTTTGTTTTCCGAAAATAGTAGACTCCTACCGTTTTTTAGAGGAAATTGAATATTTTCCGAAATTTTGACTATTTGTAAAGGTGGTAACAGACATTGATAGGAATATGTAGCTATGTGAAGTTCACCAAACAACCGGTGACACACTTATCTTTATTTTTAGAAATTTCTTCCCTTTTGGCGTTTAAAGAACCTGAAAGTATAGGCAATTATTTGCCTGATACTGATTTTGCGATGTGCTTACATATGAACTATGATCTCTCAAAATTATTACCGTTTGTGGGCGAGGTGTTACCTAAAATGTGCTGATGTATGCCAAGTTTCATTTATTATTGATACAAAATCCGAGACATTCGATGAGAGAAGAAAATCAGCGACATATTAGGTTATTGCATATCTTTGGCGCTATATTGCTCCTCTAATGGACCTCGATGGACCTTTTCTTGGAGAAAGAGAAGAATGTTTCCTTAAAATCTCCCTTTTGTACACAATCACAATAGGTACCACCTCGTATAAAATTTTTCCTCAATGGTATCCTTTCGAATAAAAAGTGTCCTTAAAAGCATTCTGTCGTATAGAAAACTTCCTTAAAAGCATTTCGCCTTGCAAAAAGTGTTTATAAAGTGTCCTTGCAGAGATTTCAAAGTTCATTTCAAAGGACGGGGGTTTTTCAAGGGCATTTTCCATAAGGAAGGGTGCCTCCAAAGACACACTCCACGCAAGGACACTTTTGGTATGAGAGTCCTTAAAAGCATTTCGCCTTGCAAAAAGTGTCATTGACACACCCCAGTTTATAAAGTGTCCTTGCAAGGACTTGGAGGTACTCTTCCTTATGGAAAATGTCCTTGAAAGACCCCCGTCCTTTGAAATGATCTTTGAAATCTCTTCTCTTCTTTCTCTCTTATCGAACATTCTTCCTTGAAAAAAGAGTGATTGACACACCCCCACATATAAAGTGTCCCTGCAATGCTCGGTCCCGTTTTTTATAAAATGTGTCTTTGGAGGCAACCTTCCTTATGGAAAATGTCCTTGAAAGACCTCAGTCCTATGAAATGGTCCTTGAAATCTCTTTTAGACAATGTCCTTAAAGGCACGATAAAGATTCCTTGAAGTACTCTGATACATAAAGTGTCTTATTTTCTCATAGAAAGTATCCTCAATAGCTCCCTTCTTTATTGAAAATGTCCTTAAAAAGCCCCTATATTATGAAGTAACCTTGAAGCCTCGTTTTCTTTTACACCGTGTCCGTAAGAATAATCAAGTGTCTTTAAAATTTACAATAAAGAGTCTTTAAACCCCATCTTTCTTACAATAAGTTCTTGGAAGCACCCTTTCTTATGGAAATGCCCTTGAAGACCCCTGTCCTTTCATAGGATCCTTAAAATCTCTTTTTTTATTCAGTGTCCTTAAAAGCGCGATAAGGGTCCTTAAAGTGTTCCGATATATAAAGTGAGTGTCTCATTTTCCTATGGAAAGTATCCTCAAAAACTCCCATATTAAAATATCCTTATTAATAGCCCCTGTAGTATGAAACTATACCTGAAGCCTCGTTTTCTTTTACACAGTGTCCTTAAAACCCATCTTTCTTACAATGAGTTCATGGAAGCGCCCCTACTTATGGACAATTCCCTTGAAGACCTCTGTCCCTTGAAAGGGTCCTTGAAATCTTTTCTTTTATACAGCGCAATGAAATTCTAGAAAGTATCCTTTCTATCCAAATGTCTCCCATTTGTATAGAAACTGTCCTCCAAAGCACATTTTTATTGTCATTATTTATAATTTAAATGCTTACATTATAAAGTGGTTTGTCCTACCAAACATAACATTTTTACTTTTTTCTAAGCAAAAATTTTATAGTTCTCCAATAAAGTTATACAAGAACGGACTGGGGACATATACATTCTAGTTAAAAAGAAACCTCATTTACCTTAATATTAACACCGATGGACGTTGCCTGAAATGGAAAATGCCTTTCGAGGTTCAAAGTTTGAAATTTTAGATGTAAAATGTCTAAAACCTTGGTATTTTGAAGTGAAAACTGATTTCTGACTAACAATGCCTCTAAAATGGATAACTACAAACTGAACTTAATTCGAAGAGATATATCGGATTACACATACGCTCACTCGAAATAAGAATACTAAAACTAGGAAAATCTCTAAATTCTTCCCAAATCTACAGTGTTTATACACATTTTTTACTTGTATCTAACTATTTCCCCTATATTTCTATTTCCAGCTCAAAGAGGAGGTGGAACGAAAGAAAAACGAATATACAAAACATTTGGATGGATACAGGACACTAAGGGATCGCTTTGAGGAACACTATATTAAGGGTAAGTACTGCAATACCATTTTTCCCAATTTGAGCATTTTTTTAATCTAAATTCTCCTCTTCCCTCCAACAGCTGGTCGCAGTGGTCGCAAAGTTGACGATGTTCGTGATAAATATCAAAAAGCCTGCCGTAAATTACATTTAACACATAACGAATATGTACTCTCCATAACCGAGGCAGTAGAAGTTGAAAAAGATTTCCGCACCATACTCCTACCCGGTCTGTTGGAACATCAACAGTCGGTGCAGGAAAGTTTCATCCTCCTATGGAAGAATATATTACAGGAAGCCAGCCAATATAGTGATCTAACATCGGATAAATTCAAGGAGATTCAAAAACGTATCGACACTGTGATAAACAGCATAAATCCAAGCGAGGAATATCGGGAATTCACAGAAAAGCATAGGTGAGTGGGAGGCAAGAGACCGGGAGAAGATGGGAATTTCATGAACTTTATTTACATTTTACAATTTCATTTGAATTTACAATCATTTACAAAATCATCATCTCGCTTATAATTCGATTATTTTTTTTTTATTATTTAATTTTCAATTTAAAAAGGGTATTGGAGTTTGTATACCCTGCACCATAGTATGGACGTTTAGTTTTAGGCCATATAACTGTACCTCCCTATATTCGGTATTTTAATGGTTTTAGGGGCATTGTTCACCGGAATTCTTTAAAATTTCGTATTTGAATTTCGTAATGGGTACTACAGTCTATGTTTAAGATTTTAACAAAAATCTTCCGAAATAACGTTAACTTCCTATATTCGATATGTTTAAGATTTTAACAGAATTTTTAACGGATTGTTTCAAAATTCGTATTTGCACTTCGTAATGGGTACTACAGCCTGTGACAGAAAATTGCCAGTGCAGGTCCACATCTTCATACAGGCCCCAAATTAACGGTAACTCCCTATAATTTTAAGAAATTCTAAAAAGTAGACTTCGTTATGACTCCTATGATTCCTTCTATTAAAATATTTAACTAATCTAAATTTTTGTTTAAGTATCTAATATTAGCTTAATGTTTTGAATATCATAAATCGTAATAAACTTTCTACTGAAATTCTTCAAATTACATGTTAAAATGTAAGTCCGGCAAGTCCCTATATTCGGTATGTTTAAGATTTTAACAAAAATCTTTCAAAATAACGTTAACTTCCTATATTCGATATATTTAAAATTTTAACAGAATTTTTATCGGATTGTTTCAAAATTCGTATTTGCACTTGGTAATGGGTACTACAGCCTGTGGCAGAAAATTGCCAGTGCAGGTCCACATCTTCATACAGGCCCCAAATTAACGGTAACTCCCTATAATTTTTAAGGAATTCTTAAAAGTAGACTAGTTATGACTCCTATAATTCCTTCTATTAAAATATTTTACTAATCTAAATTTTGGTTCAATTATCTAATATTACCTTAATGTTTTGAATATCCTAAATCGTAATAAACTTTCTACTGAAATTCTTCAAATTACATGTTAAAATGTTAGGTGGCTTTTTCGAACGACATTTTTTATACTAAGACTCCATCCTGACTCGTGTAATTCTTTCCATAAAAGTAGTTATATTAACTTAACATGTGTAATTTAATAATGTTAATATTTCTTTTTATTTTTTTTTTTTTCAGAACATCACCCACCACCCCTGTTGTATTTCAATTCGATGAATCCCTCATCAAAGATATCCCCGGCAAATTACAGTCCAGTACATTGGCCGTTGATAATTTGACGGTCGATTGGTTGCGTACTAAACAATTGGAATTGGAGTTATTCGTACGAGACTGCCAAGAGAAACAAATGAAAATGATTGAACATGTCAATGGTGGTTCACCCATAGCCAATGGATCAATAACCTCAAATGGTAGCATTAACAGCAATGGCATTCAATCGTCAAAGGAAAATCAAAAGTATACGAATGAATTTTCTCCATTTGGCTTTTACAAAATTTAATCGACGTAAATTTTCTTTTTGTTTTACAGCCGTCAATCAAAGGACTTGAATGCCCTACGTTGTCAGGAGAAACAAAAGCAGAAACTATTGGATATGATTAAATGTGCCCTCAATGAGGTGGGATGCGAAGAACTGCCACCCGGTGATGATTTGCCAAATTTCCCCTGTTTCGAACATGGTGGCTATAATAATGATAATCATCAGGTTAGTTTTGCATTTGATAGTCCTTTCGTACGGTGTAGGGTATTTCTATAGGCATTTTTAATACATTTCACACTTATATTTTGAGGTTATGGTATATTGTTTAAAAATACCAAATAATTATATTTAGTATGTGATTTACAAATCAATATCAATTCTAAAGGTTATGGTACATGCATCAAGTATGAAAGTGTTTGTTTTCTGTAGGAGTGTCCTTTTTAATAATCTAGATCGAAAATTAAGTTGTTTGAAATGTGACATGTTCCAAATAAAAAACTTTAATATTTATATTAAATATACAGGGCTAAGTTGCAAGTATTTTAAGAGTCTATTGGAGTGGAAATTCAAGAGTTAGAATATCAAAAAAAAAATTAAAATTATAATTTAGATCAAGTAGAGTATATTCTATTCCCAATTAGTTTTATGATGCACTTTGTCAAACCTCATTAAAAAATACATTGAGTTCCCTACAAATAAGGCTTTCATATATAGAGTGTAATTTTTAGTAGTAAGATTCGTCTATGTGAACCATCTAAATAGTACAGTAGGTTATAGCAAATCTTAAATATTGGCACAGAGTATGGCTTATGTAACGTAATTTTCGAACCTCCACCACATATAGATTCACAATTTGAAATAACCCCGTACATAATTTCAATATTTGAGGTACATATAACCTGAAAATTTGGGGATTAGGTTTTATAAAATATTTAAATCCTTGCTGAAAATAAATCAATGTAGTTCAACAATTAGTTATATCAGCTTTATACTTTTACATGATTTTCTTTTATGTTGTCAATTTTTAGACAATCCCATCCCAACTAAAACAGTTCATGAAAAGTCTTAATTATATTCTAAAACTAGCAGGAGTCACCGATTATTGTTCTTTTGAAATTTTATATGTTTTCCAAACAGAATGAACTATAATTTGGTATTTCTAATTCGAAAGGAAAGGCCAATGTCAGGGAAGTCCTTCAATGAATATTTTATAGCAGGGAGAAACTTTAAAGGTTCGTCTATGGAATTTATATTTGACATACTTGTTTTCATTCTGTTTAGGTGTGTTTTGAAAATAAGCTATATCTCATATAACGGTATCTCCCAATATTGGGAAATTTAACTAATTAAGTCACATTTTCCGAAGGATTTGTTAAAAAAAAAAATTCCTGATTTTGCAGTTGCTCCATAGGCCACAATTATAAACCAATCGACGCGAAAATTTACATGGAGTTAGAGTGGGCAGAAACTTACCAATTTGGGCGGTCATCGGACAATAATTAGCAGTTAAAATAGACCCTAACTTTTATGTAAGATAATGGGAAAATGTCCACTAAACCGCGAATATTTCCAATCCCACCCAAATCACAAATATATTAAAAAATCACTTCTGACCATTACAGTGATGATAATAGCCAAGAAATCGGATATACAGCAAAATAGGTACAATATATATGTAAAAAAATTGATCTTTTTATTTTGCTTATAAATCAAGAACCGCTGGGCCGATTCTCACAATTCCCATCAATTCGGAATGGTCTTTTGCCAGAAAACGATAATCTAAGAAAATCGCGGAAAAATATACCAATAAAAAAGTGAATATCTTTTGTCGATTTTTGTCAATTTTAGTCATATTTTTATCGCATGCGATTTCTTCAATTTGACTTACAATTTTGAATTGGAAATTTTCTAAATTTCTACACCCCCAACATTACGTTTTGAGGGTATTATATGCATATCGCAATTATCGTCCGATCCTCACGAAATTTTGCATGAGGGTAGGGTTAGGGTCAGAATTAAAGTTTATTGTTCTTAAGATGTATGTGGTGCAAATGTACTAAAAAAAATTAATTTTTTCTAATTTTGTAGTCGCTCTATAGGCCACAATTTAAATATAATCGACAGGGAATTTCGCATCAGAAGAGAGTTAAGAATAGGGAAGAAGCCATTTTGGATGACCATTGTATTATATTTAGCTGTAAATGGACCACAACTTTCGTGTGAAATTGTTTTGAATACTTAACAATACTACGGAGTGTGTAAATATTGTCCAAAATCTCAAAAAAAAAACTAAGGGTAACCTCTGGGTTGGGCTCTTTGACATTATTTCAAAAACGAAATCTTCCAAAATGGATTTGGATATAAGGGGACTTCGAACATATTGTAGTGTTGTAGGGTATCACGGGGTCGGACCCGCACGACTATAGCCTTTGCTTACTTGATTTTTTTTTTTTGTAACCCCTACAACGGATTGTTCAGTTTTTTTTTCGATTATGTTTAAATCAGATTATATCTATTATGGCATCGCATTGTCTGTGTAGGTCCACGTTTTTCTACAGCCTATATAACAGTACCACCCGCTTTATGATATTTTGAAGACTTTAAATGCATTCTTCAACCGATTCGAATATTGAATACCGATACTTTTTTTATGTAAGGAAGTGTATTCAAAACTCGTTCCGGTCGAACTTAACTTCTTGTACTTGTTTCTGTAGACTCTGTATACCAACCCAATATATTTATTTGGTTTAATGCTCTCATATGGTACAACTTAATTTTCGATCATAGACCTCGAAAGCCATAGGATGAAACCCCTTTACTTAGACACGGTGAATGTTTCCAAATAATTATATACCTAACATGATTTTGAATTTTTCCTATATCTTTCTTTCTACACGACCCACAAAAAAAAAATTAAACAAACTAACCTCCAAATATACAAATTATAAACACACAATTTAGAGCTCCAATACAAATACAACAAGCGTAAGTATCTTCAATGAACTACGGCGACGTGGCGGTGTTCTCACCCTACTGCGAGGACGTCACTTCAAACGTAAATCAACACCCCAGCCCACAACGCCAACGGCGTCGGCGCGTGCCAAACGTCTGAGCAGTAAAATGAAACCACGTTCCCAGAGTCTGGGTTCACTATCGGTAATTAGTCCAAATAGCCCCGCAAAATATGAGCCTATTACTAACCTACCCATGCGCATGGCTGCCAGTTTTGAAGCTAATAACAATCAGGGTTTTATGCATGATTTAAGTGATTTTGTTAAGGAGCTGACACCGCCACTAAGATTTGTGCCTTCCAAGCTAAGACGCAGCATGAGTCATGGTTCCATATTGATGCGTAACGACCAGCTCAGGGAACAGGAGGAAGATGAATATGGTGACAAGCAATGGTCCTATAACAATAATAATCATATTTATGCGGATTTAGATTTAAAGGAGGAGAAAAAGGACATGGAGGAGAAGAAGAAGGAAGAGCAGGGGGAAGAGAAGGAGAAGCCAAAAATCACAAAGGAAGAAAGTCCAATTGCGGAGAAGAAATGTGAAGAGGAAATATTGTTGGCAACCCTGGGAGAGCAACAACAGGTGGTCATTGAAATCAACACAATACCGGAAAGTATTAAAGAGGAAATTAAGACAGAGGAAAATAAGGAAATGGGCGAGGAGAAAAATACGGTGGAGGAGGAAAAAGGAATGGAAATTCTTCCCACAATTCAAAATGAAAATAACGAGAATAAACCCATTCCAGAGGTTATGCAAAATTCCATAGATGCCCATTTGGATCGGATCGATGAATTGAATCGCACTTTGGACAATCGTTTGAAGAGGACGATTTCACCGCAAATCACCGATTTGGATGCCATCGAATCGGCGGAAGTAATTGATGTAGTAACGAGGCCCATTAGTGGTAATCCTCATGACATCAAACGCATTTCCACCTCAAGTTCAGATCGGGAAATACCCATTGCCATGCAAAATGATAAGAACAAGAAGCGGTCCTTATCGTTTTCCCAAAAGTCCATTAATGCCATACTTTGTAACATCAAGGAGTTCTCTAAGAGTCCTTTGACAAAAATGCATAAATCTGTGGATACTAAGGATAGTCCTGAAAAAGAGGACACCGGTTGTTTTAATTCTATGAAAACAACAGCGGGTTCGGATAACAAAAGCCCAGAGGGAACATCGTCAAGTACATCTTCATCTGCGAACTCAAGGCCAACTGGAACGAACGTTACACCATCAGGCACACCAAATTACCCAGAAACACATATCGATAATGGTCAACATAGCTCCTCCACACTTAGTTCCCCTTCAACACACACTGATCCCTTACTCGATTCTTCGAGTCAGTCAAAAATCACAACAGCCAACACTGCCAACATGAATCCGTCCAAGGACTCTACCTCAAAACTCAAATTTAAAGTGCCAAAAATTCAAAAGAAATCCAAAGCCATACGTCAAACATTCCGCTCCAAATTCATTAACTTTCAGCTGCGCAAAGGTAAACTGTGTAAGGTGTGCACCAAACGACGACGCATCCATCCCAGCAAAAGTGTTTTCGATTTTGCCAAAGAATTCAATTTGAATTCGGAAACCTCAGAGGATAATAGCGAAGAGTTCTGTACATGTCCAGTGGGGTCACCACATGTGGCCAAACATCATCGACATCCACGTCCCTTTAGTGTAGATCGCTCGCACGGCCATAATGACGATGATGAGGATGCTGGTGAATCGAGCGATGATGTACTCTCGATGAAAGATCATTGCTATTGTGTTCCCAGTTTGGCCACAACAGTGAGTAACATTCATTTGCCAAAAAAACAAAAAAACTCAATTGCAATCAAGAATGTCAAACTGAACGATTGTCTCATTGCATCTTTAGAGTGGAGAGCTTTTTTCCGATTGAATAAATAAAAATTATATATGGGTTCTCCCGCCTGATATCGCACAATTTTCACTTTAATATTTTAATTTTTATTTCCTTATTTTGTCGTAGAAATTGTGATTTCTCTCAGCACACTTTAGTAGCAATTACACTTCTTCCTCCTGCCATGGACATCTTTGTAAAGCAAAAAAAATAATGTTTATTTCTTAAGTTGATAATTTTTAAATTTATTATAAATATTGTTGTTTGTAGTTAGAATTTTGAACCATTGTAGCTATTATTAAGTGCAGCTTTTGTTCATGTTATTTTTAATTTTAAAGCATGTTTGATAAATTTAACAGTTGTTTTTTACTAATTGTTTTTGCATGTATGTATCTGAAACTTTTTTTCTCTTAAAGAATGTTGCCCAAAAATATTCGAAACATAATAATTTTCTTAAAAACCTCAGCCATATGGCTAGGGTATATATCATTTGATGCGGCCAAAACGTGGCTCATCGAAGTAACGGTTTTAGACCTTAGGTCTCCTTGGACCAAATACGTTTCAGGACATTTTAGTTCGATCTAGCGTTGTCCGTTCGTCTGTCTGGCTGGTCGCACAATAACTCTCTAAGGGGATTTCCGATTTAGTCCAAACTTGTTACATTAGAATATTATTAACAAACTTAGATCGAGTTTGGAGATGGGCAATATCAGTCCACTCCTTCTTGTACATCCCCCACTAAAGGTCGAAATTTTCAAAAACAGAAAGGGATAGGATATCCTAGTATCTGCATCAGTGCGAAAATGGACAATATCGGTCCACACCATCAAGTCCCTCCCCCAAAAAGGGTCAACATTTTGAATAATTATAACTCCTATAAAATGGAACATAAGAGTTCGATTGTCTTCAAATTACACACATTACAATAATTTTATTAACCTAAGGTCTGGCGTGAATATGGAATACATCGGTCCACTCCTTCTAGTAGCGCCCCCACAAAAGGTTGAAATTTTGGGAAAAAATATTTTTTCTGTGCAGAAAGAGAAGCAATAATCCGATTTTGCTCAAACTTTGCCAATACTAATATTTGCCTCCGTTCTCGGTCAGGTGCGAAAATGGACAATATCGGTCCACTCCATCAAGTTCCTCCCCCACAAACGGTCAAAATTTTGAATAATTACAACTCTTATAAAATTTGATGTAAAAATCCGATTGTCTTCAAATTCCACACATCCCAATATTTTTATCAACCCAAGGTCTGGTGTTAAGATGGAATACATCGGTACACCCCTTCTGGTACCTCCCCCATAAAAGGTCGAAATTTTCAAAAAAAATATTTTCTGCACAGAAAGTGAAGCAATAATCCAATTTTGCTGCAAATTAGCAAATCCTAACATTTGACTTAGTTCTAGGACAGGTGCAAAAATGGACAATATCGGTCCACTCCATCAAGTACCTCCCCCACAAAGAGTCAAAATTTTGAATAATTACAATTCTTATAAAATGTAATGTAAGAATCCGATTGTCTTAAAATGTCACACATCGAAATATTTTTATAAACCCAATATCTGGTGTTGAGATGGAATATATAGCTCCACTCCTTCTGGTACCTCCCCCACAAAGGGCCAAAGTTTTCAATAACCAAAACGTTTATAAACTCCGAAATAAGCATCCGGTTCTCTTCATATTGCACACAATTCTGCTAAAAAAAAAGATCTTTTGTGTAGATGGGATATATCACTTCGCTTCTTCTGGTACCTCCCTCTCAAAGGGTCAAAAATGTGAATATCAATGAAACGCATAAAACGCGAAATTAATATCCGATTCCATTCAGACTGGGTGCATCTCTATATTTCCATTAAAACAAGATGTGTTATAAAGATGGTAGAGATCGAACCATTTCTTCTGGTACCTCCGCCACATGTGGTTCAAGATTTTGAAAAATAAAACGCTTAAAGAAATCGAAATAAGCATCTAATCCTCTTCATATTTCACACATACAAACATTTTTGCTAATACAAGATCTGTTGTGAAAATAATATATATCTACGAGTTCCTTCTGTTACCTCACCCACAAAGGGTCACAATTTTCAAAATTTATATCTGTTATAACTTGCGAAACAAGTTAGTGATTCTTTACAACTTGCTGTATCTAAATATTACTCTCAACCAGAAATCTGATATGAATGTGGAATTTATGATTTCACAAAAAGTTGGATATAAATGTTCGATTTTCTTGTAATTTGGCCCATATCAATATTTGTATCTGTATTAGATGAAGCATAAAAATGGAATTCTTCGGTCGACTATATCTGACACATCACGAACGTTTTAACATTTTCTTAAAATTATTACATATCTCATATAATGTGAAGGAAGTGACCAATATAGCCCAAACCTGGTACGTCGCACTATTTATATCATATTTATTTAGGCCTTATACGAAATGGATTATATGGGACCATTCCTTCGGAACCTACTCCATTGAGGGTCAACAATTTGAATAATCATAACAGAAGTCAAAATATATTTAAATAATTGAACATTGGCTGAGGGTATATAACATGTTAACTTGTTATTTTATATTTTATTATCCTGGAGTATCCCGATATTGCGATATTTCCATGATTTTGATGATTATGATGAAATTACCCACAATATTATCTGACTCATTCCTCTAGTAATGTTGCTTTCGTTTCGGTGCACCCTATGTTAATTAATCAAGACCTCAACTTACAAATTCTCTAGAGAATATCAAATCTTTCACATTTCTCAAAATATTCGCTAATACTGAGATTAAAAAAGATTTTCATTCTCAAAATTTCTTTTACTCGAAATATCTATAGATACATTTCAAAATAGCAATAAATATACACACATATTAAGGTCTCTCACAAAATTTCATTCTACCAAGTGCAAAAAGAATGACGCAGTCGGTGTTTTTAGGGTAGGTGAAAAGAAAACAGAAATGCGTTGGAAATCATTGTTGTCACTATGCCAAAAAGGAAAAGTTGATGGGAAATCGTCAAAGTAAATTCTGGCTGCTGACGAATGAATAACAAACCTCTTGAGAATTTTCTTTCAATAACTTAACATTTTAAAGCATTCCCCCCACCGACAGCTAAATGTCATTACTGATGAACTTTTAACGGCAGCCAGATAAATGTTACAAGTTCAACAGGAAATTGAGATGGAAGCAACAACAAAGATTTTCAGAGCGAATTTCGGGTTTCTCAAGAGATTGTTTTATTGAATTTTCTCTTTTTGCTAGAGAGGAAATGAGATTTTAAAATATACATTTATTTTATTGTCGTAGGTTTTGAGGTATGTGTGTGTTTTCGAAAAGATTTTCATTCTGGGTATTGAAAACAGTTTTTCATTCAATATCAATTGTTGTGCGGTAATATTTTCGTTTCGCTGAATTTACCTAAAGAACCGGGCGAACGTCGGTATATTTTTTTCATTGAAGAAAATGCGTAAAGATTTATAGTGACGTGTTGTTGAGTGGAAATTAACATAATTTTTTAGATATATTTAAATAAATTGTGACAAATTATAAATATTTAATATATCACAAATTAAATTTAAAAATTTATTAGCATTTATAAATAATTTGCATTTAAAATTGAAAAATATCAAATCATGTTTTATAAATAAATTTTGTGGAAATTTACTTCTTCGTTGTCAACATGAGTAGTACATCCGGTCAAAGTAGCAACTGCAGTGATTCGGCAGGAAATTTCTCTTTGATATTCTTTCATAACTGCCACAATTTAAATGGTCCTCCAAAGCCACCGGCACGCAAAAAGCGTCCCAAATCCATGTTTAATGTAAGTGAACAATCCAAAAATTTTGTTTTATATAAACAAAGCACTTCAATACTGAAATATTTATTTGTATTAGTCAATTTGGTTAATACTATAAATTGTCGAATTGTCTTAACTACCCACGCAAAATTTCGTCATTTGTTGATGCAATATTTTATTTCGTAAATAATGCAAATAAGATTAGTATACTTTAGCTGTAGTTGTGAACAATTATATTGGGAAAATATTAATTTTGAATGAGAACACCACGGTCCTCCACGTTGGAGTAAAGATGAATAGAATTCCAATTTACAGATTAAGTTACTAGCTCCTTACATTGTAAGACCCCAAAACATGGAATCTCCTGTGGAAGGAAGAAAATTGTATTAGCTCATATCGATATAAGGACACCAGAAAAGATCCAAGTAAACATTTCTCTATACCTTTAAATCACTTATGCTCTACTCCTTCAGTTCGTCCATACTTCCCTCCTACAATTTACCTAAAAGATTCCCTTCTTTCAAAAGACTTTTTGCAGGTCTTTTGTAAAAAGAGACTCCCTTCAACCCGTCGTAGAGTGTGTGAGCGAGAGAGAAACCCGCTTATAGATAGAGACTCCCTTCAGTAATGACTCCATTCAGCTCGTCTACAAAAAGTTCCTCTCCTATAAAAACCTTTTCCGCTAGCCCATAAATACTCCTTCAGCTTGTCAAGTAAGATTCTCTAATGACGTATATAACGTCTTCCTTTAGGACTTCTATAAATACTGTCTTCTTATTGGCGATAAAGACCCTCTGTTTATCATATATAGAGACCCTCTTCTGCTCGTTTATGTAGGCTCCCTTCAGATTGTTGGAAAGACTCTTTTAAACTCCCTCCAGCTTGACAGCTTTTAAATCGTCTGTAAAGACTCCCTTCAGATCGTCTGTAAAGACTCCCTTCAGATCGTCTATAAAGACTCCCTTCAGCTCGTCTATAAAGACTCCCTTCAGCTCGTCCATAAAGACTACCTTCAGCTCGTCCATAAAGACTACCTTCAGCTCGTCTATAAAGACTCCCTTCAGCTCGTCTATAAAGACTCCCTTCAGCTCGTCTATAAAGACTCCCTTCAGCTCGTCTATAAAGACTCCCTTCAGCTCGTCTATAAAGACTCCCTTCAGCTCGTCTATAAAGACTCCCTTCAGCTCGTCTATAAAGACTCCCTTCAGCTCGTCTATAAAGACTCCCTTCAGCTCGTCTATAAAGACTCCCTTCAGCTCGTCTATAAAAACTCCCTTCAGCTCGTCTATAAAGACTCCCTTCAGCTCGTCTATATAGACTCCCTTCAGCTCGTCTATAAAGACTCCCTTGAACTCGACTGCACAGACATTTTAAACTCGTTTATAAAGACTCTCGAGCTCGCCCTCGAATAGAAAGACTTCCTTTATTTAGTCTTATAGACTCCTTTTAGTTAGTGTAGAAAAACTTCATGGAGCTCGTCTAGAAAGACTCAATCTGACTCGCCTAGAAAGACCCCTCAAGTTGTCTTTATAGACTGCGTTTAGCTCGTTGAGGTATACTTTTTTCAGTCCGTCTAAATAGATCCTATATGACCGTCTATAGACTCCTTCAACCCGGTCTAGATGACATATAGACACATTTTAGCCTCATCCTTTAATCCCTGGAATTATGGAGTCATATGTGCTGTGTTATTAAAATGTGTAATTTCTAATGACGTAAATTTCCAAAAAAAATATATATTAATTTTTTTTTTTGGATTATATCCAAATTTCTCATGCATTTTTGACAACAACCAAATACATTTGTGGGCAACTTTTTATAACTTTTTTTGTTTAATGCTAAATTTAGATGTAAGAAAAATTGCATGTATATTTTTAGACATTGTTTTTTTTATTAACCAAACTTGCCAATTTTAATTTACTTTCATTTGCCTTATTTTATTGTTTATTTGAAATTCTTCCTTTGCTTCTTCTTTTATTCCTTGGTGTTTACAATTCAAACTAATATCCATCTGAACCAAAACTAAACACCATTACTAATGACATTCTTTTATGTATCTTCTCTTTAGGTATCCCTCTCAACAAATCGCCCGCTCTACGAAGAAGAATGGTTCCATGGTGTTCTACCGCGTGAAGAAGTTGTACGTCTGCTCAACAATGAAGGTGATTTCCTTGTCCGCGAAACCATACGTAATGAGGAAAGTCAAATTGTATTGAGCGTCTGCTGGAATGGACACAAACATTTCATAGTTCAAACCACGGTGGAGGGTCATTTCCGTTTCGAGGGTCCACCATTCCCCAGTATACAAGAGTTGATATTGCATCAATACCAATCGGAGTTGCCAGTTACCGTGAAATCAGGTGCTATTCTCAGAACGCCCATACGTCGTGAAATCTGGGAGCTAAGCAATGATGATGTGGTCCTGTGTGAGAAAATTGGTCGTGTAAGTCGATAATATTAAAATAATTTAAAAACTGTATATTAAATTCTAATTTTCTTAATTTGTCTCCAGGGTAACTTTGGTGATGTCTATAAGGCCAAATTGAAGTCAACCAAAAAGGATGTGGCCGTCAAAACATGTCGCATGACCCTACCCGATGAACAGAAACGCAAATTCTTACAGGAAGGTCGTATCCTTAAACAATATGACCATCCGAATATTGTCAAATTGATTGGTATTTGTGTACAAAAGCAACCGATAATGATTGTTATGGAACTGGTGCCAGGTTAGTAAATACACAGATTTTGCTGTTTTTATAATTTCCTAATTATAATTTTTTTGGTCCAACATTAGGTGGCTCCTTGCTGAATTATTTGCGTAAGAATTCAAATATCTTAACAACACGGCAGCAAATGGGAATGTGTCGTGATGCAGCAGCCGGTAAGTCTTAATCAGCAAAAAACACATCTAGTCAGTAATAATATTCACAAAGATTTGAAAAATTTGAAAATTGTTTAAGATTAAAAATAGTTTTGCTCTTAAAATAGGATTGGCATATCGGCTCTATTCTGAATAAGGCGCGAAAAAAGCGATTTTATAAAAATCTTCATGGCATGTCTTTTTTTTGCCATTCGAATAATAATAATAATCTATTAAAGCAAGTTATGGAGTGTCAGTCGGTTTTGCCGACAAATGTATATCCTCAGCCAATGTTCGATTATCTAAATATATGTTGTCTTCTGTTATGATTGTTCAAATTATTGATCCTCTATGGAGAATGGGCCAATATTGTCCTTATAGTATCGAACCTATATAAATATGATATAAATATTGCGACGTGCCAGATTTGGACTATATTGGTTACTTCCTTCACTTTGTTTGAAATTTGTGATAGTTTTTAGAAAATGGTAAAATGTGCCTGAGGTATAGTTGAGATATAGTCGACCGAAGTATTCCATGTTCATACTCCATGTTGATGGAAATATTGAGATGTGCCAAGTCTGAAGGGAATTGGATGATAATTTCGCGTTTTATGAGCTTCTTGGATATTCAAAATTTTGATCCTTTGTGGAAAAAGATATCAAAAGATCTTGTTTTATTAAAAACAATGGGATGTGTGAATTTTGAAGAGAACCAGATGCTTATTTGGGATTTTATAATAGTTTTTGTTATTCAAAACTTTGACCCTTTGTGGGGAGGTACCAGGAGAAATGGTCCGATCTTTATCATATTTACTACCGATCTTGTGTTGATGGAAATATTGTCATGTACCAAAATATTGTGATTTGTGTAATTTGAAGGATTCTTACATCACATTTTATAAGAGTTATAATTATTCAAAATTTTGTGGGGGAGGTACTTGATCGAGTGGATCGATATTGTGCATGTTCGCACCTGACCTAGCACTGATATTAGGATTTGCAATTTTGGAGCGAAATCGGATTATCCTTTCTTTTTCTGTGCAAAAATATATCATATATATTGTAAAATATTTTTTTTAATTTTTGGCCTTTTGTGGGAGGTAACAGAAGGAGTGGACCGATATTGTTCATCTCCGAACTCGATCTAATATTACGATATACCAAGTTTGGACTAAACCCAATATTCCCTTCGAGAGTTATCGTGCGCACCAGCCAACCAAACCGACAGACGGACGGACATAGCTAGACCGACTCCAAATGTCCTGAAACGGATTTGGGATAAAGGAGACCTAGGATCAAAAAACCTTTATTGACCGTGTCAAATGATATATACACTTATTTAGCCGTGTGGCTGAGGGTATAAAAAAGTATTATAACAATATAATCATATATCATATTAATATGAATACTAATATTGTAAAATTTCTATGATTAAGAAGTAAATATTTATGACAACCATATCCATACTTTGAAAACATTCCAGAGATTGCATTTTAATTCACTCCAAATCACTGCTATTTGCAGAAGTAATTGAATACAAATTTGTTGCCTCCTTCAGGCTAAATTAAACTTAAGATAGCGCGGTCAATGCAAATTATTTAAATTCCACGCAACCAAGTCATATAGGTAATATCCATACGATATTTCTTTAAAAATGCACATTATTCGATTGCATTTTAATTTTCCAAAATAGTCCGGATTGTTATCCGTTTTAACGTTTGAACTTGTCATTTCCATTTTGGTATATTCGATGCCACACTTTCCCCCAATATAAAAAAGTATCGAACCAAAAACACTGGATTATTTTGAAAAATCAATCCAGTGTTTTGCAATTGCTAACATTATTTTACATGACAACACAATTTCAAATATTAACAATATTTCTCCCATCTTTACAGGCATGCGTTATTTGGAATCGAAAAATTGTATACATCGTGATTTAGCAGCCCGCAATTGTTTAGTTGATTTAGAGTGTTCCGTAAAGATCTCTGATTTCGGCATGTCAAGGGAGGAAGAGGAGTATATCGGTAAGAAATATTTTACATTTCTTCCCTAAAGGAATACATTTTTAATTTTAAATATCTCTCGATTTCAGTATCGGATGGCATGAAACAAATTCCCGTCAAATGGACAGCACCGGAAGCCTTAAACTTTGGCAAATATACATCACTGTGTGATGTCTGGTCGTATGGTATATTAATGTGGGAGATTTTCTCAAAGGGTGATACACCGTATTCGGGTATGACAAATACCCAGGCTAGAGAAAAAATTGATCATGGTAAGTTGATTAAACCACTTTAAGTAGAAAATAACCCAAGAATAGAATTCAATAATACGAAATATTAAAAGTAATTGATAAAACATAATTCTATACTCTTTGGCTTTTTCGCCCGTCATCACAATCATCAACAAATGAAGGCCTTAAATACCTGTAAATATTCCTTTGAATCCCTGCAAATGTTTCTTTGTATCTTTCTCAGGTGGGCTGTAAGGACCTTCACATTATCTGTAAATATTCTTATTAGCTTGTCTACAAAAACTCCTCTGTCAATAAAGACAGCCTTCTTGCAAATCCACAGAGGGTTTTGTTGCCTGGTGTTCAAAAAGATTAATTTCTAATCCGTCTGTCAAGACTCGTCTTTAGAAACTCACTTCTTCTTATAAGGCTACGTTTCCCCTGGCACAGAGAATCGGTTTAAGATGTTATATAAAATCCCCTATTTATCTCGTTTGTTATTTTTTTCTGTTCGTCCATTAAAACTCATATCCGTTAATCTATATACATCTATGTAGATTCGTAATAAAGCATTTTCAGATCGGTAATAAAGACTCTCTTCTACTGCTCTATAAAAAATATTTTTTTCGGTAGTTTTAAAACTCTACTGTTACTTTGATTCAAATTCTTCTCTTCAACATAAACTAACCGCCGCTACCTTATAATTATATCCTATAGCACATAGTGGTACGGGTATTATGTTTTTGTGCATTTGTTTGTAACATGAAGAAGGAAGCGAAATGGATCCATAGTTACTTTTGGGGATTTTCATAGAATCACTTTCTAAGTCGATTTATGCATGTCAGTCCGTCTTTCCATGTATTTTTTGTGAACAAAATGAAGGTATCAATTTTTATCCGATTGAGATGAAATTTTCCAAACAATATTTGTTTGGCCCAAGGACGAATGGAATTGGTGAGATTCGGTTCTATATACATCTTCATCCTATTTTAATGTTATTGTGCACCATATATGTAATATCAGCTCAAATTTAATAGATTTTTTCATTTGGTGAAATATTTTTATTTATTTATCATCATTTGATGCGCATCATTTGATGCGGTCAAAACGTGAAATAACGGTTTTAGACCCTAGGTCTCTTTGGACCAAATCCGTTTTAGGACATTTGGAGTCGATCTAGCGATGTTCGTCCGTCCGTCTATCTGTGTGGCTGGTGTGCACAATAACCCTCGAAGAGAGTATCCGATTTGCTCCAAAATTGGTACATCGTAATATTTTTGTCAAACTTAGATAGAGTTCGAAGATGGGCAATATTGGAATATCCATAAAGCTCATATAACGCGAAATGAACATCCGATTCCATTCAGACTTGGTACATCTCAATATTTCCATCATCACAAGATCTGTTATAAAGATGGTACAGATCGGACCATTTCTTCTTGTACCACAAAGGGTCCAAGATTTTTGGAAAACAAAATACTCAAAGAAATCTCACACATCCAAACATTTTTGTTAACGCAATATATCTTGTGAATTTGATATATATCTACCAACCCCTTCTGGTACCTTGCCTACTCACTTACTTATATTTGCCGTAACTTGCGAATCAAGAGATTCTTTACAACTTGCTATATCTAAATATTTCTCTTGACCAGAAATCTGATATGAATATGTAATTTGTCGAATTTTATGATTTCGTATAAAAGGGTATCATATAGTCGGTCTCGCCCGACTTTTGACCCTTCCTTACTGGTTTTAATTTACATCTATGAAGACACTTCAGTTCGTCTCAAAGTTTCATATGGAAGACTCACATCTGTTTGTTTCTTTTTTTTTTAACTTTCTGTCTGAATGGTTCTGATAAAATTTTTGTTAAAAATTTACATTTAGAAAAACATCCTTAAAAATTTACCTTGATTGGTAAATTATTGGAAAAACTATTGTTACAAAATCAACAAATATTGGCTGATTGATCTTTAAAAACAATTCTTACAAAATTAACGATGATTGTCCAAAACGTTAAATTAATGTTTATTGGAAAACAATCTTAAAAATGTAAATTTTTTGATTTAATAGTCGTTAAAAATGATCAAAAATTACACAATTTTTCTTTAAAAATCCAGAATTATAAATACAATGAAAAAACATGTTTAAAATGCTCTAATAAACATAAAAATATCAAAAAATCCAAGAATTCCGGCATAATGGACTTTGAAGAAGTATTCTTAAAAAATCACGATTGTTGGTCTTGTAGCCCTTAAACAAATATTCTTAAAGAAACTTCAATTATTGGCCATAAAAATATATTTTTTAGTATTTTTAAAAAATATATATTTTTCAGAAATCGTTACCCAAAAATAGTCTTGAGTAATCCTCGATTTTTACGTCTCCAAAAATATTTTCCAAATTTCCACGATTTTTGCTCCTTAAAATTTTTTTTATAAAAATCAACAAAAATGTCCTATAATGATCAAAAATATTGTTCTATTGTTTTATTTCTTCTAATTCTACATTGTCTTTATTGATTTTGAATTTGTTTTATTAACAAATTTATTTTTATTTTCAGGTTATCGTATGCCAGCCCCCGATAATGCTCCAGCGGAAATGTATCGTTTAATGTTAAAATGCTGGGCTGCTGAACCAGAATCTCGTCCACATTTCGATGAAATTTACAATGTCGTCGATGCACTGATTTTACGTTTAGACAATAGTCATTAAATTCTGCAACAACAAAAACGCTGAAATAGACACCATACTCATTACTTTACATTTATATACATACAAAATATAATAATCATAGCATCCATATACTCTTGCATATAAAAATATATCCTCACTCAATCACATCCCAAAAACAAATATACATGCATATAACATTCATATTTGTAATGAAATCTCACTCATCAATGTTTTTAGTTGTAAGTACATTTGTAATTAAATATTATTATAAAATTCATTAATTTTTTTTCGTCGTACATATACTACTTATATAATATGTGTTATTGCATATCTGTTGTTATTATTTAAGCTTTTAAAAATGTGTTTATTTTTTTTTTAATTTTTTTAAATGTTAAGTATAAAACTAATATTTAAGCTATTATTAAGTAATACTCTGAGAGAATGAAATTTGAAAACAAAGATAAAATCGAAATCTATACCGCCCAACTAATGGAGGCTGAAAGCAATGTTTCCCAATGCAATTGATAAAAAGGCAACGAATGTTTCTTTTGATGAGGAAAATGAAATTGAAAAACAAATAATCAATCATATTTTTTATAAAGCATTTTACTACTATATTAACCCAATATTGTATTGAAAAGGTTAAACACAAAAAAATTGTAATTGTGAGTAACAATTTTTATAAAAATCATCTTTGAATTAAATTAGTGTGTGTGTGTGCTTTTTTATATTTTATATAATTTTTTTTTTCTTGTATAATGTGCCAAACCATAAAACAAACCCGAAATTAAGACGAAATCAGAAAACAAAAATATTTGCAAGGTGTCTTAAATTGAATGGATGATAATGAAATGCAGTAACAACTTAAAAATAAATTAATATTAACATAATTAATTTATTTTCATTTAAATCAGACTTGAATACATTTTTTTTTTTGTTTTTTGAAAGACTGCAAGGCTATTTTGCACATGAATGATTTTTGAAGTACGCATTTGAAGTGCTGCATAATTCTTCTTATGCAATTGTAATTTATTTTCAATTAAATCTGATTTTTTAACACATTTTCTTGACAGACTGTATATATTTTTGTTTGTTTTATTATGTATAATGCATATTATTATTCACAATTTTTATTATTTTATGTATACAGGTTGAGATGAAAAAACTGCAACAAAGTCAAACGCCATAATGTTTAAATTTTTCTTTAAATTTTATTGAATGAAAGCAAAAAATGTCGGAAATATCATCAAATTTTAGAATAAGTTTAGATTTTTTCGAATTGGTCACGTTTGGCACGAATGAAACCATCACACGCTCCCCGAATGTAGCTCTTCGGTATTTTGGCCCATTCCCGGCGAAACGCTTGCTTGAGGTGATCGACACTTTGGTATTTTTTAGTGCCAACCTTGCTTTCCAAAATACTCCAGACATAATAGTCCAACGGATTGGTATCCGAAGATTTAGGTGGCCAAGCGAAGAAATCTTTAGCGTTTTTGAGTCTATTTTCTTTCTGTTGTTGTTACGGTGTAAGTTCTTGCACTTTTTGGAATTTAAATGGCTTTACCCCGAGCTCATTTGTCAACGGCAACTGTGATCTAACAATAGTCACTTGTGATTTTCTAGCCAAATGTAAAGAATTCACACAATCACGCTTGAATTCCATCACGAGTAACTTTTTTCTGGATAATTCTCACCAAAATGATGTTGTATGCTTGTAAACAATATAACGAGCTGTCACTGGAATAATTCTAACAGCTGTCGGACGAGTGGCTTAGAAATGACAGCAGTCTGAAGTTGGTTGCAGTTTTTTCATCTCACCCTGTATTTTATATTATATAAATTCCTGACACGGTAGTCGAGCACAGAAAAATTTGAATTAAAAAACAAAGAATATTAGACCTAATCTCATTACCTTCCTTAAAAAATTCAATTGTCAATTCATGAAATTTCCCTTACCTCTTTTCTGTATCTCGACTCCGAATTGTAATTGTATTCAAATTGCAATCAATGCTAAAAGTAACACGCATCTTGTGTATCTTTAAATTACACCCGAATTTCTCATTTTGTTGATAGAATTCTTATAAATTCTTAAGTGGTATGTTTGTTTTTAATTAGTTATTAAGTAAAATTGTTTTAAACTCTTTTTATTTTCCTTGTATAAAGAGAACCAACTTATTACTGATTTGCTCTTGTTTAATGTAAATGCTTATGTTTAAAAAATATTATATTTTAACAAAAACAAAAAAGATCTTAAGGGAAAACTTACAATAAAAATCAAAATATATATTTAATATGCAATAAACTACAATTAAAAAAACACAATATATTATGATATATATAAAATTTATTATATATAAAAAATTATTTTCAATAAATAAAAACATACATAAAATATTAAAAAAGAAAAACAGTGAGTTTGTCCATTTTGTTAAGAATTATAATTGGCGCCTAAGAGTATGCTCCATATTGTTTTATGTTGGACATCTTTGCAATAATGCATCTGGCAACATCACAAAGGAGAAACATCTGACGCCTAAGAGTATGCTCCATATTATTACTTCTCAACTATATAATTTTTTGGTAGTAAATCTGGCAACATTCCACTTTCTTGTAGCTTTTTGAGATTTTCAGTAACATTGTGGTGACAATCTCAAGTATCAGGCAAACAGCATCGAATAGCAGGGATATTTGGCATCAAACCAAAATTCAAATCGCTATAACTCAGCAATGAAAGGAGCTATTTGCATGAAGTTTTCACCACATGTTAGGGAAAATATTGTAGTTTTGTCATGGGCTTCTATTGTTTTAAAAAAAAATAATAATAAACCCAGAAATTATGGAATTTCTACAGATATGAAAATACTATAGAAAAAGCGGAAATAAGGATTTTTCGCGTTGAATAGTTGATAAATCACTACATCTAAGGTAGAATTGTTGCGGGTGTTGCGCATTGGTGGCAAATTAGGGTCACTTTCTGAATCAAGGCAAATTTACAGCAGACTTTTTTCGAAAAGCCACTAATCGGTCTAATTACATGAGAATAGTCAGAAATGGGAAATTGTTAGAGGAATGGAATGTATCTTCCCTTGACACTGTTCCCTGTTCGTCTTAAACGGTAATTTATATTACTTTCACGTATCAAATAAAAAATGCAAGGGAAATATCTTTGTGATTTTTTCGGCAACATTTACTTAAATATTTTGTTTGTATTTAGTGTAAATAAATATTTTGTTTGTCTTTGGTGACTAATTTTAAAATTTAACGTAGAATATGTTTGTCTTTGACGTCATCCGCTTAAGATTATGTTTTATGGAACTACATATTTTGCATAAACCCAGACTGAGTGCGATTTAAAGCCCAAAACATGTTTTTTTTTTCAAATTTCGGGATATAGGTTAGTCAGAGGTTGAGTACATTCTGGATTTACAGTAAAGGTTCGTGACAAAACAATTTTCGAAAAATATTTTGATCCGATACGATCACATCTTAATAGAGTTTTTGAACAGTTTGGAAAGACCTAATAACTCGATTGAGGGTAAATTGGTTTAACAGAAATATTGCTCTGATGCTTGTCAGTTATATTGTCAAAGGCACTATACAGGGTCAGATGAAAAACTGCAACCAACTTCAGACTGCTGTAATTTCTAAGCCACCCGTCCGACAGCTGTTAAAATTATCCCAGTGACAGCTCATTATATTGTTCACAAGCGTAGAAAAGCATTTTGGTGAGAATTTTCCAGAAAAAAAGTTATTCGTGATGGAATTCAAGCGTGATAGTGTGATTTCTTTATATTTGGCTGAAAAACCACAAGTGGCTATCGTTAGAGCACTCCATCATTTAAATATTAATAAATATTTTGTGTCTCGTACCATCGCTCGTTACCGTGATACTGGTAGCGTAGCCCGACGTCAAGGAAGTGGACGGAAGAAATTGGCAACATCAGCAGAAATGGTTCGAAAAATAGAGAAGCGGCTTCATCGAGACCCGCGTCGCAGTGGCCGAAAAATGGCTCGTGAGCTGTAAATATCGCAATATTCTATTCGGCAAATATTAAAAAATGAGCTCGGGATAAAGCCATTGAAATTTCAAAAAGTGCAAGAACTTACACCGCCACAAAAAGAAAATAGACTCAAAAGAGCTATAGATTTGCTTCGCTTGGCCGATAGTGGTGAACTCCGGAGTTTGGTTTTCTCCGATGAGAAAACATTCGTTGTCCAGCATTTTGTAAAAAAAAACAAAATTATCGTGTTTTCTTGCCAAAGAGGTCGGCTGAAAATGTGCACCTTCGGTTGGCCAACAGAACTCAAGCGCCGGCCATGGTGATGATGTGGGCTGCCATAACAGCCTATGGACGCTCTCCGCTCGTATTAATCGACCGTGACATCAGAATAAATTATCGCGAAAATATTCTGGAGGGTGTATTAAAGTCTTGCTCACGCAGACATTTTGACCGCAGACCTTAAACATTCTAACAGGACCCAACATCATCGTACTCAGCACGCGCCACCCAAGAATGGTTAGAAAATGAGGTTCTTCGCTTCATTTCCATCGCACAATGGCCACTAAAATCTCCGGATACCAATCCGTTGGACTATTGTGTCTGGAGTTTTTTGGAAAAAAAGGTTGGCACTAAAAATACCAAGGTTTCGATCACCTTAAGCAAGCGATTCGCCAGGAATAGGCCAAAATACCGCAGAGCAACATTCGGGCAGCTTACATTCAATAAAATTAAAAAAAGTAAGAATTATGGCGTTTGACTTTGTTGCAGTTTTTTTTATATCACCCTGTAGGTCCACGATATCGTATAACCAACATATAACGGTACCTCCCTATATTCGGAATTTTGATGATTGTCTAAACATCTATACTAGAAGTTGCTTCTAAGCACTTTACCCCTGAGAAGAGAAATGTCTATATAGGTCACGATAATCGTGTAGCCCACATACGGCGGTACCCCCGATATTGGATATTTTGATGATTTTAGAGGCATCATTCACAGAAGTTGTTTCAAATTGTATTTAGAGTTTGTGATTGGAACTACAGTCTATGACAAAAAATTGTCTATGCAGGCTCCCTCCGAATAAAAAATATTGTTAAACAAAGAGTGATATAACGCAATTATTGGCAAAAAGGTGTTAAATTTCTGTGCAAGATCAAGTACGGCAACTCTGGTTCTATGACATTGTGTTTTGTTTTTGGAGACTAGATATTCTTGGAGTTTTATTAAAAACTTTAACGACGAGAATATGTATATATCAATATTAATACATTTTACAAAATATATAATGAAAAGAGGTTAATTATAAGTATGGAGCATAAATCGAGTAAAACAACCTTTAAAATATAATTAATATTTAAATATACACATTAGTATCAAGGACAGTTAAGGCTTCTTAAATATTAAATTCCAACCACTTGGCTGGGTTGGTGACAGTCATTTGTTCAACTTGCTCCACGGACAGGCCCTTGGCAAACATGCGTGGCAAAATATTCATATGGACATGATGATAGCCATGACCACCGAAGGAGGTCTAAAGAAGAAATCGAAAATTCTTAATATATTTTCACAAACGACAGTAAAAAATATTCCAATTACTTACCAAACGATGTTTTGTATGCAAATCGTGCGACATGAGAATCTTATCCACATAGCCCTCATCAATCAGACGCATTAGATTATTAATACGTTGGGCATCCGAAGGCATATCCACGGTTAAATTGAGTTGATACAAAGAGCATTCAGTACCGAAAAGATCGTATTGAATATATGTGCCCATTTTGGCAAATTCCAATAGCTGATCAATATCAAAAATGGTGCGATCCAAATGGGACATCACACATTTCGATGCCTTACCACCAGCTTCCAAATACAAACGGACAATTTCAAAGGGAGCCTCAGCATCACGACCGGGATGGAAGGAGACACCACAACCCAAGACTTCCTGAATCTCACCGGTGGCCTTAATGGCGCGCTTTTCGAAATCTAGAAAATATAAGGAATGAGAATAAATAAATGAATACGTATTTAAATACATGAATAAATAAATCATTAAATAAATTTATAAAATTTGAATAAACAATTTTTTGAGCTTGAGGAAATGAATTGATATATTGCAAATAAATAAAGGAACCCCAAACCTCAAGCTCAAAGCAAAAACTATTTCTTTAAGTTAGATTGGACAAGGTGGAATAAAAGAAAGTTTATAAAAATCACTAAAGAAAGACAAAAAGTTGGGCGGAGCCGACTTTATGATACCCTACACCCCTTTGCATATTTAGTAGACTTCATATAACCAATTAAAAATATAACAAATAGGATGAACAATATATATCTGAACCGATTTTCACCAAATTTGACATAACTGTTTCTAGGCTAAATTTGGTCGAAAGTGCCAAATTCCATCCCATTTGGGCTAATATTAAATGTTTAGTGCACAATACAAGGCAATTCGGACAAAGATATACAGGATGAGATGAAAAAACTGCAACCAACTTCAGACTGCTGTCATTTCTAAGCCACTCGTCCGATTGCTGTTAAAATTATGGCAGTGACAGCTCATTATATTGTTTACAAGCGTACAAAAGCATTTTGGTGAGAATTTTCCAGAAAAAAGGTATTCGTGATGGAATTTAATAATGTGATTTCTTTATATTTGGCTGGTAAACCACAAGTGGCTATGGTTACAGCACTCCAACATTTAAATGTGAATAAATCTTTTGTGACTCGTACCATCGCTCGTTACCGCGATACTGGTAGCGTAGTCCGACTTCAAGGAAGTGGACGGATGTGAACAGCTAAATCAGCAGAAATGGTTCCAAAAGTAAAGAAGCGACTTGATCGAAACCTGCGTCGCAGTAGCCGAAAATGGCTCGTGAGCTGAACATATCGCCATATTCCATTTGGCAAATATTGAAAAATGAGCTCTGTGTAAAGCCCTTGGCATTCCAAAAAGTGCAAGAACTTACACCGTAACAGAAAGAAAATAGACTCAGAAGAGCTACAGAGTTGCTTCGCTTGGCCTAAAGTGGTGAACTGCCGAATTTGTTTTTCTCCGACGAGAAAACATTCGTTGTCCATCAGGTTGTAAACGAACAAAATGATCGTGTTAACTTGCCAAAGAGGTCAGCTGAAAATGTTCACCTTCGGTTGGCCACCAGAACTCAAGCGCCTGCTATGGTAATGGAGTGGGCCGCCATAACAGCCGATGGTCGCTCTCTGCTTGTATGAATCGACCGTGGTATCAGATTAAATTAAATTTAAACGAAAATATTATGAAGGGGTATAATCGGCTCGGGCACGCAAACATTTTGGCCGCAGACCTTGTACATTCCAACAGGACTCAGCACCATCGCACTCAGCATGTGCCACCCAAGAATGGTTTCAAAATGAGGTTCCTCGCTTCATTTCCAGCGGACAATGGTCACCAAAATCTCCGGATACCAGTCCGTTGGACTATTGTGTCTGAAGTATTTTGGAAAGCAAGGTTGGCACTAAAAAAATACCAAAGTGTCGATCGCCTCAAGCAAGCGCTTCGTCGGAAATGGGCCAAAATACCGCAGAGCAACATTCGAACAGCGTGTGACGGTTTTATTGGCGGTTTGAAGGTCATAATTCGTGCCAAAGGTGTCCAATTCTAACAAATCTAAACATATTCTAAAATTTGATGCTATTTCCGACATATTTTGCTTTCATTCATAAAATAAAAAAAAAAAATGTAGAAATTATGGCGTTTGACTTTGTTGCAGTTTTTTTATCTCACCCTGTATATGGGGGCTATATCTAAATATTGACCTATTATTAATAGGGCTCGTCCTTGGGTCAAACAAATGATTTGTGCAAAATTTCATCTGGATCGGACAATAAATGCGACCTGTACTTTGTTTATAAAAATACATGGACAGACGGACGGACGGACATGCATAAATCGATTCAGAATGTGATTCTATACAGATCATCAAAATGAACTTTGGATCTATCTCGTTTCCTTTTGCGTGTTACAAACAAATGCTCAATGACATAATACCAAGACCTTCTTGTGGCGTAGGGTACAAGTAAATATTTCGACGTAGTCGTTTGCTTACCATGAATGGGATAAACACTGCCAACCTCGCCGATAAAACCACACTTCACCATGCCAACACCTTCCAACTCCACACCAGTGATAATTTCCTTGGAATATAAATCTGTCATTTGCTCCACAGTCATGCCGACATGATCTTTCTCTTGCAAGTCATGGACATAATGTCCCGTGCCAGCCACAATATGGACACCCGTCTTTTTACTGGCCTCCACCATAAATTCCATATTACGTTTCAAGCCATGCGAACTATTTTCCACAATGGTACCACCACCAAATTTCTTATACAATTCGATGTCTTTCAGCACAGCTACACGAGTTTCCTCATCATAGAATCGGGTGTTGTCACGGCTCGAATAGGGATATTGACGAACAAATCCCAAATTTTCCATACGCAATTTTCCCTCCAAAAATGGTTTGAAATCCTCTGGTGGGTCACAGTGGAAACCCTCAAAATCCAGCGCGATGTGTTCATGGGTGAGAGTGCGACCCAAGAGATTTGGATCAATGGGTCCCAAAACTGTGAATTAAAGAAGAAAACAAACAGATATTTCGATTAAAATTTCTTGATCTTAAAGCACATACAAATGTATGTATGTATATGATTTGATAATTGTTCTAATTTTCCGTTTCTTAATGTTAATGTTTTATCTGCAAATGATAAAGCATTTGATTTATTACCTTGTCATATACCTCCCCTGGAACGTTGTTATCTAATTTTGAATGTTTGCTAATAATTGTAGATTTCTTAAAAATGTTTTATATTTTCAGATATATAAAACATTATTAAAAATTTTAAGGAATTTTTTTCCAAAAAAAAGTGGATCACTGGTAACTTAATAATCGTGGAAATTTTATGAATATTTTTTAAATAAATATATTTAAAGAATATATATTTAAAGATATATATATATATATTTTTTTTTTGGGAGGACCATTGACGTATTTTTAAGAAACATTTTCGAGAACTAATAGAACAATAATCGAGGATTTTAGGAGGAATAGTTTTAAAGGACTTTCAAAGCAATTATTTTGGATTTTTAAAGGAATATCTTTTGAAGGACCTGCGAAGCAATAACCATCGGGATTTCCCAGCATTTTCTATGAATATTTTTTAGGCCATTATCGATTTCTGTAAGCATTTTTGGAAAGGAGGGTATATTAACTTTGTCGTTCCGTTTGTAACATCCTTAAATATTCGTCGTAGACCCAATAAAGTATATATATATATTCATAATCAGCATAAAATTCTAAGTCGATTTAGCGATGTCCGTCTGTCTGTTGAAATCACGATCGTGTGGCGAAACATTGCATGTATGGGTCCACGATTTAGTATAGCCTCCATATAACGGTACCTCCCAATATTCGGTATTTTTATGGTTTTTGCTACATTTTTTCACTGATTTGTCTAAAAATTGGTATTTGTAGGTCATAATGGGTCCTAGTTCGTGTGGCGAAACATTGTATGTATAAGTCCACGTTTTGGTATAGTCCCCATATAACGGTACTTCCCAATATTCGGTATTTTGATGATTTTTGACACATTTTTTCACGAATTTCTCTGAAAATTGGTAGTTGTAGATCATAATGGTCCTAGTTCGTGTGGCGAGTCATTGTAATTATAGGTCCACGTTTTGGTATAGTCCCCATATAACAGTACCTCCCGATATTCGGTAATTTGATGATTTTTGCCACATTTTTTCACGTATTTGTCTGAAAATTGGTATATGTAGGTCATAATGGGTTCTACGAAAGTTCTTACGAAAGATTTTTGGAGATCTTTCAGTGCAATAACCATGGAATATTTTTTGACGACATTTTAAGCAATTTTTACGGATTTATAGGATATTATTCTAAGGGCTGATTTCAATTTTTTTGAAATAGTTTTAGAGGACTTTTCAAAGATTATTTTTGAATGACTAGACAAATCGAGTATTTTTTAAATATCTTTAAAAGACTATCTGTCTGTCTGGAGGACTATCGGAACAGTGAATTTTCAAGAAATATTTTTCAAAAAACTATCCGAAACCTGTAAAGAAAGTCTTAAAGTCGGGCGGGGCCGACTCTATGATACCCTACATCACTTTACTTATTAAGTAGAGCTTCACATAACAAAAACAGGTTTTATGGAGAATTTGTGAGAACTAAATCATACCAATTATGATTATAGTTACAATTTAAAGTCCAAAGGAACTAATATATGAGGGGAATATTCTCCCCTGAATCGATTTCTACTAAACTTGCCTAGGCATTTGTGCCTTTTCAATTCGGTCTTGTATTACCCATTTGGTGTACAACTAACTTGAAATCGGATAAAGATATATATGGGAGTTATATCCGAATCTGAACCGATCTCGATAAAGTTTGGGCTGTATTTGATATATTTCCCGGAATATCGTTACTACGCAGTGCATATTACGGTTGTGCAGGACAATTGCAACAAATCGGATGAACAATATATATGAGAGCTATAGCTATATCTGAACCAATTCTCACCAAATTTGCACACTTATTTCTAGACTCAATTTGGTCGTAAGTACTAAATTCCATCCCATTTGGAATGATATTACATGTTTGGTGCACAATAAAAGGCAAATCGGACGAAGATATATATGGAAGCTATATCCAAATCTGAACCGATGTCGATAAAATTTAGCAAAGGTATTTCTAAGTTGTATTTGATATATTTCTCCAAATAACAAATCGGATAACAATATGTATGGGAGCTATAGCTATATCTGAACCGATTTCGCATACTTATTTCCAGACCTAATCTGGTCGTATGTGCAAAATTCCATACTATTTGGGCTAATATTATACGTTTGGTGCACAATAAAAAGCAACTCGGATAAAGAGATATATGTAGGAGCTATATCTAAACTTTGACCGATTATCTCCAATTTCAATAGGGTTCGTCCTTGGGTAAAACAAATTATTTGTGCAAAATTTTATCTGGATCGGGCAATAAATTCGACCTGTACTTTGTTTACAAAATACATGGACAGACAGACGGATCGACGGAAGGGCAGACATATATAAATCGACATCGAATGTGATTCTATGCAGACAATCAAAGGTCTATCACGTTTCCTTTTGCCTGTTACAAGCAAATGAACAAAGGCATAATGCCCTTACCACCTTTTGGTGTAGGGTATAAAAATTGGGAATATTCCAGTGTGTCGTGGAATATTTAAACCCTAATTTCGGATTTTTGAAGAAGAATTTTAGAGGATTATCAGATATATTTCTAAAAATACTTTTAAAGGACTTTCACATAAATATTCGTGGATATTTCAAAGAATAGTTTTTGGAAGATTATGAGAACATGAATTTCTTAAAAAATCTATTTTGGATTCCTTGTTAAGAAGTATTAGAATACTTATAAAGGACTATTAGATCAATAATCGAAATTTTTTTTAAATATATTAGTAAAGAAAGATCAGATCAATAATCATGGATTCGTCTACAATATACTTTTAAAAACTGCCAAAGAAAAAATTTTCGAGGAAAAAACTTTTTTTGTTTTTAATAATTTTGATCACTACTAACTTTTTCCATGATTTTAGCACATAACTATCAGAGGAACTATCTTGAATTTTTTCTTTACATATTTTTTGAAAACTATCAATAATCGTGGAGTTTTTAAAAATAAATTTTGTATTTTTCTAAAAATATTTTTGGAGGACTATCGAAGCTATGACCATGCAATTTTTTAAGTAATATTGTGGGGGATGTCAGAGTAATAATCGTCGAATTTTTTACGAATAGATTTAGAAGACAATCGTGGTTAATTGACCCAATAATTGCGCATTTTAAAGAAAAAGTTAGAGGACTATAATAAGAATGGTCGTAGATTTTTCTCAGAATATTTTTGGAAGACTATCGGAGTAGTAACGGCAAAAAATCGTTGTTTTTTTTTTTTGTGGTATATTCCTTTTTTTTTTGTTTGGAAGACTATTCGGACAATAATCGTGGATTTTTCGAAGAACATTTTTAAGGTATTTAGAGTAATTTTGGAGCTATAATCGTGCATTTCTCGAAGAATATTTTTGTGTGGATTTTTTGAAGAGTACTTTCGTGAAATATTGGTATCCTCATTCAGGATTTTTCGGAGAATACTTTTTGAGGGATTTTCGAATTTATCAGTGATTGATTGAAGAAATAGTGGGACTATCGAAGCAATCATTGTCGCTTTATCTAATTATCCGGAGTACGGAATTTCTCTGGAAATATTTTTTGGGGATTTTCAGAACAACTTTTTCTAAGAATTATATTGAGGACAGTTAGGTCAAGTATCGTTTTCTTTTCTATGTATATATTTATTTTTTATATTTTTTTGATTACTATTGAAGCCATTATGTGGTTTTTCCTGAAAATATTTTATAAAATTTTTAATATATTTTTTATAAAAATTCTGGATTTTTTCTTTAAATATTTCCTTAATGATCGTTCCAGCAATAAATGTTGACTTTTCAAAAAGTGTCCTTTAAGAACTATTAATATATTTTGGGGACTATAAGAGAAATTTCCTTGCATTTTTATGCAAATATTATGGAATTATCAAAACAATCAGTTTTACGATTACTTTTAAAGACTGTCCTAGCAATAATATATTTTCTGGGAGGAATCATAATTGTGGATATTTCTAATATAAAAAATTTGTATTTTTCTGACATTATACTATTCTGAAACTATTCTCTCCAGCTCATAAAAATATTTAACAACAGTTTCATATTTTCAAACCACATCACAATTTAAATGCTGTTTTTGGTGTTTCTACTAGTAAGAGATCACGAGTTATTGTCATAAATAATCTATATTGCCCACTTTGTTTTAAAACGACACAAATTCCTTGAGATAAATTCAAATAAACCCCCCACACTTTGTAATGCTAACAACAAACACAATAAATTATTACTTTATGATCGCAACATAAACGCACTCCACAAACATTGGCAAACACACATATGTATTGCCATATATATGTTTATACGAATGTATGTATGTTTCTAGATTAGATTCCATTGTCCACTAACTACTTACCTGTTTGGACAATTGGCATTGTGACCGATGACAAGATAGATTAATTTAAATGCAAAAAATCAACAACTGATTAAATATTAAATTTAATTGCACAAATAAAAACAAAACAGAAATGTATAAAATAGATCACTGATCTGTTGCCAACACAATACTTTCACTTGTTTTCAATGCAAGAAACTTTCAACTGCACTCTGGCGATGACTCTGAAAAACTGAAGCCTTTGAAAAACACTTCGGGTGTAGAAAGGCCTCAACAATTGTCAATTGGTTGGGAAAGAGAGAAAAATGATAATAAAACCGGCCGGTTTCTGTTGTTGAAAGGAGAGAGAGAGAGCACAAAATGTTCATATCTGCATTCAATTTTTAAAAGAGCTATTTGTTATCAAGTGAATAAAATAATAACAAACACAAAAACAATGAAACATACATAATTATGAGCGTATATACATTAGAATGGGTCGATAATTTAGACTGATAGAAATGTACGCTATTGTTGGTTTCGTTCAAAAAATTATTAGGAAAAAACTATTTTAAGAAAAAGCCAAAAAATATTTCTCCATAAAAATTCCAAGAAAAATACATCCCAAGAAAAATCGACAATTATTTCTCTGATAATAGCGAAAAATATTCGTAGAAATATTGACGATTTATTGAATTATTTTTGGAAATATTTGGTATTAGTACTCTATTAGTATTCTAAAATTATAACTAAAACTATTAACTATTTTTGCTCTTATTGTAGGCCATGTAAATCAAATATATACAATTTTTATACTCTCCACCATGGAAAGGAGGGTATATTAAATTTGAAATTCCGTTTGTAACACCTCTAAATATTCGTCGTAGGCGCATATAGCATAAAATTCTAAGTTGATTTAACAATGTCCGTCTGTCTTAGATAATCTATCAATATCGGCTACTATCGGAGATGCCGCATAGCTCAGGTGCGAAAATGGATAATGTTGGTCCACTCCATCAAGTACCTGCCCCACAAAGTGTCAACATTTTTTTTAATATTCATGAAGCTCATAAAATTAACATCCGATACAATTCAGAGTTGGCACATGTCAATATTTCTATCAACACAATACTGGACATAAATATGATAGAAATCGGTCTACTCCTTCTGAATATCACATTTTTTATACCCTCCACCATACATAGTAGGGAGGGTATATTAAGTTCGTCATTCCGTTTGTAACTCATTGAAATAATAATTTTTAATGCCAAAAATGTATATATATTCTTGATCAGCGTGAAATTCTAAGACGATTAAGCCCTGTCCGTCCGTCCGTCTGTTATAATCATGCTACAGTCAAAACGAATTAAGATAGGAAGTATTTAAAAATTGAAAATATTTTAAATTTTGCAAAGGCATGACAAGTTCGAAGATGGGCTACATCGGTCCACGATATCCGATAACCCCCATATAACGGTACCCCCCGGTATTCGGTATTTTGATGATTATAGACAAATTTTTCAATGGAATTGTCTGAAATTCTACACAAGGAGTTCTTTGTGAGTTCTTTATCCCCTGGAAGAGAATTATCTACGACACGTCTCGATATTCTGTATTTTGATGATTTTAGCCGCATTTTGAGTACTTTATAGCTGAAAAGGAATTATCTATACAGGTACACGATATCATATATCTCCCATGTAACTGTATTTCGCCATAATAGGTATTTTGATGATTTTAGCCACATTTTTCAACGGAATTGTCTGAAAATCCATGGAAGGATTTTCTTGTGAGTACTTTATTTCCTAGAAGAGATATTCCGATATTCGGTGTTTTGATGATTTCAGTCAATTTTTCCAATGGAATTGTCTTGAAATCCACACAAGGGGTTTTTTTGGAGTACTTTATGCCCTAGAAGAGAATTGTCTATAAAGCTCCACTTTTTAGTATAGCGCCCATATAACGGAACCCGCAGATATTCTGTATTTTCCTGATTTTTGCGGCATTATTCGCCGGAATTGTTTCAAATTTCGTATTTGAAGTTCGGAACCGTTACTAAAGCCTATGACAAAAATTGCTTATGCAGGACCATATCTTCGTATTGTCCCCATATAACGATTTTCATTAGAGAGGTATTTTTCGACGGATTTTTTTTTTAATTTTCAAGCTTCTTTCAAATGGTGCTTAGCTGCTGTTTTACTTGTTTATTTTCTTTTCATTATATTCGACCCATTCTAATATTATAAAAAATTATATATTCAAGTGTATATGTAAATATGTATAGAGAATTGATAAACGAAGATAGAGAAAGTGTTTATTTTTGTTTATATTGATGTATCTCTTGGTTTATCATACAATTATGAGTTGTCATCTTCATATAAAACTTGATTAAAAACATACTTATATTCAGATGATCAGCATCTACAGTACCCGTCGGTACTATTGTATAACATTTGTTCATGTTCTCGAAATTATAGATATATATGCTTTTCCCATAATAAAAACAGATTTAAGGCATTTAATAGTCTCTGAGGTCCATTTTTGATCGATATTGAATGAATGCATCTTTTTGTTTAAGATTTTTATTTAAAAACAAGTAAGCAAAGGCTATAGTCGTGCGGGGCCGACTATGTTATACCCTACAACACAACAATATGTTAGAAGCCCCCTTATGTCCAAATCCATATTAGAAGATTTCGCTTTTGTAATTAGGATTTTGACTAGGGACACTTGCCCAACATTTATGCACTCCGTTGGGCTGTTAGTTGTTGTAGTCCATTTACAGCTAAAAATAATCCAATGGTCATCCAAAATGCTAGAATTCTTCCCTGTCCTTAAATCTCTTCTCAGGCGTGTCGATTGGCTACAATTGTGTGATCAGGAATTTTTTTCTGTTTTTGTTTCATTTGAACCCCTAAATATTTGGCGATCATCTCCAAAAGGAAGAGGCCCCTCTGTATCTCCAAATTTAGACTCATCTATATGATTTGCCTGTCTACGATATTTGGCTATATTCGTCAACGAAATCAGCATAAAAAAGCCAGAAGTTCGCCTTTTGTGTATTTCGGATATCGCCTGTAAGTAATGCTGGTATTATTTCACACAAAATTATTGGTCCATTCAACCCGATGTCCTAAAATCTAACTTTATGCGAGATTTCGTGTCCTTTGGTTTCTATTTGTGACCTTTATAACGGCTGCAAAATCAGGAAAATGTTTAGTTGTTGGTCCATTTCAACCCCCTAATATATTGCGGACATCTTTAAAAACAATAGGCCTAGCCCTTCTGAGCCCAACCCTTCCCTTGTGAAAATTTCGGTGATAATCGGACGATAATTGCAATCTGTATATAATAGCCCCAACCTGTGTTGTAAGGTGAAAAAATATTACAAAATATACACCTCAATATTATAAGTCAAATTGAAAAAATCGCATGCGATAAAAAATATGAAAAAATAAAAAAATGTCACAAAATACTACAAAATCTATATTAACATCATTATTGGCATATTTTTCTGCGATTTTTTTAGATTTTATTCTTTTATGTCAGGAGGGCATAAAATTTATCAAAATCTGTCCAGCCATTCTTGAGATATAAACATTCAAGCTAACATCCCCTTCCTATATATAACCGATATATTTACTATCGGCATCTACGTAACGGTCAGAATTGACCTGTTCGTCTATTTGTGATTTCGCCGGGATTAAAAATATTCGCGGTTTAATGGAAAATTTGACTTTTATTTAACACAAATGTTGTGGCCTATTTTACCTACTATTTCACCCGATGACCATCAAAATTGGAAGGCTTCTGCCCAGCCATGAGCTCTAGCCCCATGTTAACTTCCGCTTTGATTGGTCATAATTGCGACCTGTAGAGCAACTGCAAAATCAGGAATTTTTTCAGTTTTTGGTCCATTTCAACCACTAAATATTACGCGATCATCTCCAAAAGAAATAGGGTTATATTCTGACCTTAACCCCACCTACATACTAAATTTCGTGAAGATCGGGTCATAATTGCGATCTGTAGAGTGATTACAAATTAACATGGACAGATGGACAGACGGACGGACGGACGGACGGACATACATAGCTAGATCGACTCAGCTCGGCGAGATAGGAAGATCGTGTTGTTACATAATTTTTGGTCCAATCAAACTTATAATACTCCCAACACATAGTGTTGTAGGGTATAACTACAAAAATTGACCATCATGTTTAAAGAAATTCAATATCTTCCATTATAGTATGGTTTGAGGGTTTACTAAATCTGCAATCACCGTAAGCTTACTATTACATTCTGAATGTGTCTTCCAGTAAGAACTGCTAAAATGTGTCGTATTTCTGTCACATTAGTGGGTAATTTTTTAGATCTTTAGTTTTTATGAGTTTAAAAAAAAATGTTGAGATTTTATTATTTTTTTTTATTTTAGTGTCCAATATTGATTGGACACAACCATACTTACCCCTTGATCATATTCAAAATCGAGATGACAAACCTAAAAGGTCTTTCTTTTATTTATTTATTTATTTCAAATAGAATATATGTTAATAGAATATTCTATCAACTGTTGACTATTTTAAGCTACATATTGTTTATTTATTTAAACTCCCACACAGCAAATGACTACGACAATAATAATAATAACAATTTTTGTTTACCACTTTGCAATACAATGGAGGTAGAAGATATCTTATCTAGATATCTGTTCGAGTTTGCCACTGTTGTTATTTTTTAATCCCATATTTATGTTTACACTTTTTTGTATCATATGATAATTGCATTAAAAAGTCACCTCTTGCTTTCCTTCTTGCAGGTAGCTGGAGAGTATTCTCCGCCGGCAAATGCGTTTCAACTTTCTTTGTTCGATAAATTTATTGAAACCCAAACAAAACGACACACTATTGACTCAATGTTTTGTTGTTAGATCATATGATTTTAATTTGTTTAATAAAAAAAAAACAAAGTTGTGAGTTCTTATTTAAGTAGCAACCATCGAAATGAACTGCATTAATTGTGGAATTGAAATGCAATTGAACAGTTCAACGACCTGTTATATATTAAAATAAGTTAAAAAGTATCGGTCGATTTATCCGATGTTCGATTATTTAAATATATAGATATGTTGACTTGTGTTATGATTATTCTCTATGGAGAAGGTCCCGAAGGAATGGGCCAATAGCGTCAAGTTGGTATCGGTCCTAAATAAATATGATATAAATATTGCGACGCACCAGATTAATTTTTAGAAAAT